GTCAAACACAGAATTCACAAAAATGAAAAACTTTCTAGTAAAATACTTCACAGCTGCTTTGTTCCTCTTTTTTCACTTCAGTTTGATCAACGGAGTAAAATACACACGAGCATTAAATAAGGGACCAATTAAAAAATCATTAGAAATGATGTGCATTTATTTTATCTCCATATCTTTACCTTTGTCGTCCTTGTGAACTTGTTTTCCAAACCTAAACTGAAGACGCATACATCATGTGTGTAAACAAAACCCAGAAGCTACAAATCTAAGCTGTTCATGCCGAGTCCTACTTGATGTTTTGTTTGGCAAATGCTCTGTGGAACTGATGCGAGAGCTGCATGAGAAAGTCCACGTTGGGGCAGCTGTCAATGTCCATTTCACTGCTCAGCTTTCATCTGCCTCCAGGTTAATGTTGTTACCAAACTTGGCATAGAGCTGGACCTTTAGATCCCCCAACACTTGCTGTATCGCTGACACACGTTCCTCAAGGGCTTTGACCTCCTGCTCCAGTGCTTCCTGATTACAAAACACGAAACTCCAATTACATGCCAACCACTACAATTTCCCCCACAATCAACAATGTGTTTAAGACATTTCCATAAATCGGTTTTGATAAATTGCTCCTAGAAGTTGAGTCAGTAAAAACACATTCTGAAGGCAGGAAGAGAAAATATGATGAGAAAAAAAAACCCCCATACAATTAGTATGTATATAAAAGTGCTCTAAATTGTAATCAGCAGATATTAGGAGCTGAATAAAGGGAGCTGTTCTCATATTTGTGATTCTGTGTGTGTAGCAGACTGCTCCACATCAATCAGTGCCGGCCTGCGCCTCTCGTGTGATGAAACCGAAGCTAACACAAGGACAAACAGAAAGATCCTGAAAGTAACAGAGGGGAGGTCACGCTCTAATCTAAAGTCCCTCTGGGTCAATGACTGCTATCTCTCTGGTTTTCGCAGCCATGAGGCCCTTACACTGCCCAGCGCTTCTCCCAAAAGGTGCACCAAGGGAGATCTCAAGCGCACCTTAGTGGCAACTGCCATCTGGCTGAACAACGCCTTGAGACACAGCCGGCCTGGGAGGGGGGGGAAGGGGGACTTTAGAGCAGTAGGCTGATTTTGTTACTTTGTTACACCCCCCCCTTTCTTGCCTTTATGTTACGCTAAGCCAGCCATAGCTTGGTAATGACCTTCCCGTCTAACACTCAGCAAGAAAGTGAAGAAGCATCTTCCCATTATGTTTAAACTATGTCTTAAAGTCGAGGTGAAGTGCTATTTCCTGCCACACATATGCATTTCCTGTCAAATCAGGCAGCTAGGAAGGGGGGGCTTGTGTTACGTCCCCCAGTCAAGCAGCTGTAGCGGACCCATTAGCTGACTCTGACTCTTTATTCTTTGTGCATTTGTGATTTACATTTCAGCAGTCACTATAAATTAATGGGCACTAACCACATTTGTGAACGCATGCACTCAGTGAGAGTTTGGGTACGTTTTGAGTTCTGTGCACACGTTAACTATTTTATTTCCAACTACACATCCAAATTTCTTTTGGATCACTCTGACTTTCTCTCTACGAAAGCCCATGTATGAAAAATGTGGGTAGACGGGTGCGTGAATCATGTGAAAACCTTTCAGGACTTTGCAACGAAATCAAGTTATTTTCAATGCAATTCAGTCCTTCAGCTTAAAAACAAAGCGTGACAGGGAAAAATCTCATACGATAGTCAGACATATATCTCAGTTTCACTGATTAATGAGGGCCAGAAACTGTGTTTTCTATCAGGTTATACTGTTACACCAGGCACAGGAATTTGTGCAAAAATAAAGTCAATATAACTTAATAGAAAGATAATTCGGCTCCCGGCAGAACAACGAACACTGAAGGAATCGTAACTGGGAGAAGCTGACTGCAGTGATGGTAAAGACAACAATTCCCATGAGCCCACACTATTTCACAACTTTGTTTGTTATTGTTTGGAGGTGAGAGTCCCCAAAGCAATACAAATGACATATTGTACTTTTGAATGAGAAGGAGCTGATCATTTAATAATACGAGTGAACTAATAATAGTGTTTACTGTCATTTTTACAGCCATTTTGGTCTGATGATTACAGAGTAGGAAAAAAAAAGGGATGAAGAAACTTACCTTTGCAGCCTCCAGCATCTCTTGTGTTTCTTCCTGGGTGTGACTGATGAAGACGTCGCCAATTTGATAAGGGATCAATAGAGCGTCGTCATCGAACATCATGAGGTCATCGCTGGCATCCTGTAAGTTCTGCAGCGATTTCTGTCCGGAGACATCAGCGGACCATTATAGAGTCTCTATCAGGGCTGTTAACAGTTTAGTGAGAATAATTGAACAGCTGCACTGCCCTTCAGAGCACACTCAACTGTGACTCATCAGGATCAGTAAATGCTGAATCAACATAATGGTCGTCTTCAAAGCGTGTGTCTGAATTGTACCCTGTTAATGTAAGAGGGCCGTAGACTGGGTAGGTGTTACTAAACTAATCCAACCAAATATTAAGAGTTGATACTTGAGTGGATTGTAGGGGGGGTCCACAGGAAAAAGAGGAATACAATACTGAACTTTTTTTTTTGGGGAAGTTGGAACAACAAAAGGAAGAAATGGGGCAGGCGGGTTTTTATTGATTGTTTGAGCATTGACTTTAATCTGCATCTATTGTGTGTGTGTGTGTGTGTGTGTGTGTGTGTGTGTGTGTGGGGGGGGGGGGGGGACACACACACACACACACACACACACACACACACTTTTCCCATATGATTATGAACAAAACACCTCAAAATGTGCACACAACTTACTTTCTTTGACTCGATCTCATTTTTCAGCTCCGTCATCCGACTCGTGTTCCTGGCGAATTTATTGATCTTCTGTTGGTCTTCAAATGTGACATTGACGTCTTCAACAGCCTGCAGACAGACAGAGAGACAGACAGAGAGACAGACAGACAGACAGACAGACAGAGAGAGAGACAGAGAGACAGAGAGACAGAGTCAACACATCTGGGTTCACCAGCAGTTACACCGCACATAGCAGCAAACACTGTTGTCTCACTAACAGCAGCTGTAGCGGACAGTGTCCTGCCACCGTTATCGATTACCACCGCCTCTGTTCGATCAGTTATCAGCCTCATTAGGCCGGTACAGTCTCGGGTGTCTCTGTCACAGGAGACATATAACGCTACATTGTGAGCTAACTGCTATCAGCTACACGAGGGTGTGACCCAGACTTTAAATATCACGGAGCTGCAGTAATGATAGCCTGGTTGTTTTTCCCCCCCTCCGCACGCAGCTCGGTTGTTTTTTTATGAAGATATCCTGATTGAACAGCAATGTAGAGCCTCGAAATCAAAACAGAGTTTCTTTTAATTTCCACTTACTACAGGTCCCTTCATGGTGGCTGCCATCTTGGCTTCCTCGACTGCACAAAGGCGGAGTTACTCAACAGAAGGATATAGCTCTACCGCCACCTAGCGGGGGTGGAAACCCTGGCGTGTGGCAGTCAAAAAAGGGCAGTAAAATGTTTCATTTGCCTTTTTTTTTTTTTGTAGATTTAGTAGCATATTCCCGTTGTACCTTCGACCACACAGTTTTTTAAAGCAAGGTAATGTAAAATGGCATCAAACGTGTCTCTGAGCGTACAGCTAAACACTCACATTTGATCTATTTCGCCATGATTTTATTAATTTATCTGAAGAAAATGTGCACACTTGGTTCCACTATGTCAAACTGCTTACTCATTATATCAAACCGGAACTGCTGCTCTGTAAATATTTCACCAGCAAACAGTAACTGCACCCAAGTTCAAATATTTACATACATCTGCAAAGCTAGAGCACTAATAATCCAATTCAAACTACAGCTGCAGAAGATGTCAGTGAATCAAAGAAAGTGTGCCGCATCAGAGATAGATAAGTACTGCTACACAGCCTTTGCAAATGGCCAGTATATTGACAAATAATCTTTAAATTTTTCCTGATGCACAGTTTCTTCCAGCTAGTCTTAAAGCCAGTTTTTGTAAGGGCCGTGCCATTAATAAAACTAGTGGGCCGCCATGCGTTGGTACACCATAAAGAGTTTGCTTGAGGTCTCTCAGCTGCAAGCCTTGCATGAAGTCAGAAGTGCACAATCCAGACAGGGGAATCCGACTCCCACCTCAATGTGCAGGCTATAGGCTACAATTGGGACATTGTGCTCATGCATTCCAAGCCTTGTCATAATAAATTCAATAAATACTGCACATTTTAAGTTTTTAAACACGGTTTTACTTTGCAGTTGTTTGTGGTAAAACACTGTCAGACACTTTGACTGATTTGCATAAAGAGGCTTGAATTCTTAGAGGTTGTAAAGAATAAAATGAATGAGTTTTAAGGAGCTTTTATCAAAATGATCGTGGCACATTTACTCTCAAAAGCACCAAACAAAACATAAAGATGAGAATAATAAAAGAAGGAAGAAATCAGTTGATGAACTAAAGTCAGTTTGTCTTTGATCCCTGAACGTCTCTTAGATTGACCAATGTGTATTGACGCATTGACGGGCCCTCAGAGACACGTAAACATGACTATGTGGAAGTCTTTAAAGAGAGATGATTTCATTACAGAGCTCTTTGTATGTCTTGATTAACTGTGATAGTGAAGCAGATACTTGCTCTTTACAACTTTATAAATAATATCAAAGCAATACAGTTAATATTTTAAGGCACATGTCATTTTTCTAAAATTGTCTTATTACAAACAAACCTGAAATCTAAATCTTTAAAAAAATCCTAATCAGAATGACCTAAATGATAACATGCTATGTTTTTTTCTTCTTTATTCTCTTTTTTTCTTTCCCAGAACCAAAATAAGCATGTTAATACAACAGGGTTGCAAGTGCAAACATATTTATATTTGTTTTGATAGTGTGGAAGTGCACTTGGCCAATATCCTTAATACACATCCTGTTTCTTGATACATCCATGTCTCATCCCAGCTACATTCGTCAACATTGTTGCCCTGCACTACCTTATCATAGTGTCAGCAAGTTTAACCTCTTTCTGATGTTGTCGGGCTATTTTCAGAGATTTCACAGAGAGATTACTATGAGCTAATCATGTGCCTTTACTAATAAGCACCAACACTCTGTTGGGCGGATGGCGGGCTTTTCACTGGAGGAAATCCAATTGATTACTTAAAAACAGTCACACCCATTTTAAAGCACACATAAAATACCCTGTTAACAATAGCCTATATGCACAGTCGGGCAGGAGCAGCAAATACACCTCTCTGACACAGTGACAGACACTTTCCAAATTTTTTTTTCTTAAGGAGATTATCACTTGGTTGACTTGGAGAAGTGTAACAAGGTAAGATATTTGAATGATACTGCAGTTCCTTCAAGTTTGTGATCATTTTAAATAAGTTAGTCATTATTTGGAGAGTGTCTGTGCTTGTTTATGTAACTTAACCAAACTGTATTTCTGTTGTTTTTTTTAAATATTTGATTGTGCCTGTAGATTTCAACTGGGAAAAATGGGAAACGAGAATTCCAAAAGCAAAGAGCTAACCCAGGTAAAATCAAATTATACAAATTTAAGAAACCTGTAACGCTATACCTGTCGTGTGCATAACTTTGCTGCCTCTGAATCAATGGTAAGATGCACATGGAAAAGTAGACATTTGTTGTTTCTTGCTTCTTTTCAAAATGCTGGATTGTTCTGTTTACAGTGTGTCTGTTGACGTGTAACTATCTGTAATTTCTTGGAAACTGTGGAGCCAAAGTAGACTAATATTCCCTTATTATCTTTTATAGAATGGGAAAATTCCTGAGAAGCATGAAAATGGATCAGTGAATGGCATCACTGAAAGCATCACATCTAATGGGCTGGAGATTGGTAGTGAGTGCAATTTTTTCACTTCTTCTTATTAAGATAAATAACAGGGAAAAATGACTTAATTGTAAAATAACATGGTGGTAATATGTGATGTAGAATTGCCAACGCAAATTAATAGAGACACAGTGTCACCATGAAATTCTTTTCTCCAAATCTAGAGAATCTGAGGATGATTTGACCTATTTTTACTCTTCTTTACTTTGTTTTATTGTTTCCTGCTGTATGGGAAAATATTGTACATCAGTCGCTGCCAGACAAAATCAGCTGATCTTTGTTAATCTATGTTGGATCAGTCCTTTGGACTCTTCCAAAGCTCTGTAAACACTGTGACTCCCAGCTGGACTATGTCTTGAGTCTTCCAGTGTAAACTATAGGCGTAGTCTCGGACATTGAAAAGGAGCAACTATTTGACCTGTCATGGTGTGGTTTGTCTCCTTTCATGCAGTGAAAATAATGGTGGAAGATTCCCACTGACGCTTCAGTTTGTCTTAGCGCTAGTGTTGACGCTGGTGATACAGATAATATTACTTTCTCGGATTGACTTGCCCATGTTTACTTCATGGAGCATTGCACAAGTAGAAAGACCTAAACATTCAAATCAGCATTGATATCCAGTAGTAGTGACATCTGTGAACTTCTTTGGAAAGGCATATTGATCGGTCTCACATAAGTTATTAGATAAGATCAATTATTGCAACACAGACTTCACATTACAGAAATCAGATCTTATTTAAAGTTACAACCAGATGCATTTTTACAATATAAAGAATATATACCTATATAATTTGACCTATAGATGAAAACTAGCAATTCAAAACAACAGCAATTTTATCTGTTTGTGTAATAAGAGCTGTCAGTCAGTTTGGTGATTGCAGATTCAAATTTTATGGTGCATGGGGCACTTTGTTTACATTTTAATAATGGATTCTTCTTTTTTTTTGCAGTTAATGGTGAGACGGTAGTCCAGAAAAATGGCGGGCCCCTCAATTTAAACCTTGCCACAGAATCGACTGAGCGTGAATATGTGATAGTTGAATCCGACAGTAAACATGTGGATGCTCCAGTTATTACTGAAATCCTTGAAGCCGACGTCCAGAAGGAAGAGGTCAAGAAAAGTAAAGGAGAAAAAGCTCCTCTGTTTGGCAAAATGTTCAAAAAGAAAGCAGAACCCCCAGCCGATGTTGAGAGCGTTAAAGAAAATGAGACCTCAAATGAAGATCAAACGGATGTAAGTGTCCCTGCCACTGATGCACAGCCGGTGAGTAAGCTTTTCATGTTCATTTATAAAAGATAAGTCTGGTAATATACTAAAATTTTTATTATTGTCAACAAATCCCATGAAAAGACAAAAACAAAACAATGAATTGATCCTACCAACAGGTGTTGCATGTGAGACCAACGTCTGATATTACTTGAAATATTACAAATAAATAAATATTATAAATAAAAGGTATTCAAAATAGAAGGTGAGCCACACTGTTGCACAATTTCCTTCAATATAATGAATATGGGCAATGTTTGCTAAAAACTACCACGCTCTTATCAAACCTTTTTTTTTTTATTTATCTATATATTATTGAGAAGAGGAATAATGAACTGAGGCTTTTGGTTCTTTTTATGGGATTTGTTGACAGTAACGCAGGTATAATGCCAGTCTTATCCTTTAATGTGTTGCTCTAATTCTAAAACAATCTGCCTGAAATCACTTAGATTTAGATGAGATTTCCTTATCAGTACATAAACCATTCCAAAAACATATAGCAAAAAGAGAAAGATATAATTCCTGTAATCATGAAACAATTACATCGCTGAGAGACCAAATTAAAACCCAAACATCTGTACAATGTAATGCACTGCAGCACACCAGCCCTGTAATAAATACTACCTTACTTTAGAATCTTAAGTTGTTGTTTAGGTTCCTTTCCTTTACATATATGGACTAGAAAAAACTAGAAACACCTTGTAATATAATGCAGTTAATACAACAACAAAAGTAGCTACTTCAAGAATTACCACAGTAATCAATCGTAGGACTGTTGTGCTAAATGGCATTAAAATGTAGAGGGGTTTTTATTTTTCTCAGTCACGGTGTGATAAAGCACATGGTTGTCATATGTGTCCCAGCAACAAAAAACAGCTGTATTTTATCTAAACATAAATGTTGATTTTCATAATAAAGGAGTCTGGCTCAAGTGGAGACAAAGCTGCTACCGTGATCATCGCTGAGCAACAAAAAGCTGAAATATCAACGCAGACGGAAAGAAAAACTGAAACAGATATTTCAACGCAAACCGGCTATGATGATGACGTTACAACCACTAATACTCAGTGCCCAGTGGAAGAGGTATTCGTGATGGAGGCAGCAGCAACTGAAGAAGATTTACTGAATGAATCTGCTGTTGTCATTGCTGAAGAGGTTGTGGAAGAGACTGCCAATGAAGAACCTTTAGACAACCAGACATCTGGGATCATCAGCGAAGAGGTGTTCATCATGGAGACCAGTGTGTATGAGAATTTAGTGTTCAGAGCGGAGCGGGTGGAAGTTATTGACAATTTTGAAATCAGCTACATCAAAAACTGCGTTCCCGGGGGAGAAAACGTTAAAGAAACGGAGCCAGAGATTGCTGCAGAACCAGAATGTGACCCAAACAAATCCATCATAGACGGTGGAGTAGTTGCAGAGAAAACTGTGCCATTGGAGGTCCATTTCAGCCTTCCCAAAGTAGTGGCGGATTGTATTGAGGTGGTTTTCACTACTGTTCCTGAATCTACCGACTTTGTTGCTGTAAACACGCCGGACCCAAGTGTAGATAAAGTAATTACTGAAGACCATAGTGAAGGAGCCAGAGACATGTCACCTGATGTAGTGCTGATTGAAACTGCTAAACCTGAGTCTAATGCTGTCACTCCCGAGGCCAGGGAAACACATGGCATTCCTTTCCTAGACAAAAAACCTGTGACTGTGGTGATGGAAACAATCTCAGTTCATGTTCATGAGGAGCCAAATCCAACACCTGCATACCAAGACATGCCTGTAGAAGAACCTTTCTGTCCCTCCTGTGACAGAAGTTACAGTCAAGGTGGAATCTGCCCATGAAGAGGTCACCGCTGATGATGCTGTTGCCGTCCAGGATGTAGCAGGAATAAGTGAAGAAATGATCATTGTGGAGGCTCCTTCCAGTGAGCTTATCACCATTGAGGAACTAATTGAAGATACTTTAAATTTCCCTGATGATGAAGTCAAGCCTGAAGACGTTATTACTACAGATGAGAAAGCTGAGGTTAGTGAAGATGTGAGAGCTGATGTTGGACCAGAAACCGTTAAAGAAGCAGAACCAAGTCCCGTCATTGTCAAGGACGATGCTGAGGTAATACCAGAGGCAGCAATTAAGGCCCTCTCTCAAGAATTGGAACTTAGTGTCATCACTCCTCAAGAGCCTGCAGTGGATAACGGCATCCTACTGGGAGAAGAGGTCATCTCTGCAACAACTTTTGTACCCCTTTCTGGAGATCGAGAAGCAAGTCTTACTATAGCAGAGGAGCCAATTAAGACACTGGCAGAGGAGATGAATGAAGAAGTCATAGAGGCTTTATTAAACGAATTTGATGTACCACCAATGGACACAACAAGGGAGCGGGTGGAAGTCACTAACATTTTTGAAATCAGCCACATCAAAAACTGCGTTCCCGAGGGAGAAAACGTTAAAGAAACGGAGCCAGAGATTGCCGCAAAACCAGAATGTGACCCAAACAAATCCATCATAGACGGTGAAATAGTCGCAGAGGAAATTGTGCCATTGGAGTTCTCTTTCAGCCTTCCGAAAGTGGTGGCAGATTGTATTGAGGTGGTTTTCGCAGCTGTTTCTGAATCCACCGACTTTGCTGATGTAAACACGTCAGCCCAAAGTGTAGATGAAGTAATTACTGAAGACCATGATGACGGAGCACGAGACATGTCAGCTGATGTAGTGCTGATTGAAATCGCTGAACCTGAGGCACTGGCTGAGGAGATGAATAAAGAAGCCATAAAGACTTTATTAAAGGAATTTGATGTACCACCAATGGGTGCTACAGAAGAGTCTGAGTCTTGCGTTTTTGTCCAAGAGGAACTTGTCGAGGAGAATGTCGTCCCATCTGAAGAGCTGTTGGAAGATTCTAATAAAGGAACAGCTGTGGTCGCTGTGAAAGAACCAACTGATTTCAATCCTGTCATTTCTGAGGAGCCTGTGGAGGAGAGTGCAAGCCTTCTTGAGCCACTGGTGCTGGTGGTAATCCTTGAGACACGTGAGGATGAAGATACAGAAGACACACATGAAACACATAATTATAGAGACGTTTTAGTTGCCATTGAGGAGAACTCTGAAGATTGTCAAATTGACACTTCATATGAGGCTGTGGCAGAGTGTGTTCAAGTTGTTCTCGAGACCATTGTAGAAGAAAACATCACGGTAGATGTTGCGACTGGATGTGACCTTGTGACTTCAGAGTTGGTAGCTCCAGAGATCATCGCAGAGGGAGAGCAGGAAGAGCACGAATCAAATGTGAACTCAACAGATTCAACGCAAAGTGCAGAAATTATTGAAGACATGGAAGCTTTACTTGTTAGGCTGCAGTCAGCTTGTACATCAGTTGTTCTAGAATCAGCATATAGGCTTGGGGGGTTAAATATCTCTTCGCTGGGATACAGTATTAATGTCACCATTCACGTGACTCCAAAGACAGAACAGCAGTAAAATGTGGAATGAACATTGTTTTTGTTTCTAAAATATATTGGTCTACCTCTTTAGGATATCATGTGTTTAATGGTATGCGTTAGTAGTTGCAATTGGATTGAAACATTATGTGTGTTTTATAATAATGCAAAGTGCCTCTGTTTGTATATATCATCACCACAAAGCTCACATTGTAAAGTATTGAAACATTTTCCAATAAAATGACAAATGAAAACACTACAAAATGTCTTCATGATTTTGCACATATTTCTGCTCAGTGTTTAGTAGAGAATAAAAAAAGAATATGACATTTTAATCCGGCCACACTGAAGAAAAAACGAAATGAACAGATTCACTAAAATGATCCAAAAACCATACTCATACTCACCATCAAGACACAGCAAGGTATTTGAGTTTCCTGACATTTCTCAGGGCATAACTCTCACACATTGTTGAATATCAATGAGTGAGGGGTGGGACACACACATTAATAAAAGGGTGATTGTTGACAATGCCCCGAGTAGGCAGAGGCATGGTTGGAATTGTGCTCCCATCTCAATGCTGCGATTAAGACACTCACTGCTTGCATATCAGCTCCGCTGCTCTAACATAATTCTCAAAGGCCAATTCTTTGTGATGGTGTATAGGAGACAGCTAACCTAAAGCAAGAATCTGAATCATTAACGGAGCCAAAAAGTGTGACTCTAGACCCGGGTCCAGAGGAAGAAAAAGCTCCTGAAACTGACAACGGAAACAGTCAGCCTGTGGAAAACCAAGAAGACAGTAACCCAGAAGAGAATCCAGTTATGAACTTCTTCAAAACACTAGTAAGTGACATAATTTGAGAAATTAAGCGTGGTTTACATTCACTTAATGTTTCTAATTGCTTCTCTTGTAAAATTAGACTGCTTGGGAAAAATTATTGAAGAGTTGCTGTAATTAAAAGTGCAAAAACAAATGCACCCTTGTTATCTCCAGCTATTACTGAAGGCAAACAGCTGCTCCAACAACAAAAAATTAAGCTAATATGTCTCTTTTAATTTTTACTTAAAGAAGCCAAGACATAACTTGCCTGATAAAGTGGAAATTGGTCATAATAAATTCAACGATAGATTCGAGATGTTTAAATTTAATTGGTGTGTGTGTGATTCCTAATTTTCTTTGTTGAGGTATGTAAAAAGGACGTTTTATGGCAGTAACAGTATCCGTAACTAAAATCTGCCATTATGACAGAACCTGATGGAAAAGCTACAACAAGCAGCTATTGTATTTCCTCTTCATCGTGCTGTCTTTTGGATTCATGCCGTTTTAAAGAGTTACCATTGCCCTAGCCCCATGCTAATCAAGTCTTTGAACATGCGGGAATGTGGTGGCCTATTGTTCAACCCATAGTGTGAGCTCACAAGGGAGGCCTGTGCAGTTGGAAGTTGAGATTTGTGAAGATAGAGCGAGGGCAGGCCTACGCCATCTCCGGAGCACAATGGCTGTCACAATGACAGCGCATGTACTGTATGTGCTCTGTCAGGGACCTCAGTGTGCACTCTGTGCCTCAGTTAGCTTATCATAAAGGCCTATGTCTGCATTCATGAAGGGCTTCTGTTTTATCGAAATAATTATTTTTCTGTTCCTGTTACATCAGCTATGTATAGGCTGATTCTGAACGCTTTGGCACTGCAGCGTCATTGTCAGCTATATGAAATAACATAATGCATGCATATTTAACATCTGAGGGATAGGCTCTTTGTTTTTGCTCTTAATTTCTGTGTGGCAGGAATAACCATTATTGAAGACAGGTCATTGTTCTTCCCTTGTTGCACACAGGTGACTCCCACTAAAGCAACCAAAAAGGAAACAGCTACTCCCGATGCCACAAAAGATCAGGTGAACAGATGCTGATGAAGTATTACATCACACATAAAATGTGTTAAAATGAGAAATGACAGCAGTTTGTAATAGTTTTCTTGTTTGATTCATTTTCAATTAATAACATATACTGTATATATATATATATATATATATATATATATATATATATATATATAACTGTATCAGAGAACACAATAATGTTAGGGGTTGATTATCTAACTACTTGACTAAATTGACCACGGGCAAAGAGAGGGTTTTCAGGGCTAGCTGGCATCCGTTGACTATATATTTTTGCTCAAATTGAGGATAAGCCTGATTTCAAAAAAGTATATATTATTTTGAGGACCTGTATACAAGCTTTTTGCAGATATTTGTTTGCTTCGGTTTAACTTTATCTCTCTAACTGCTTCCTTTTTCTGTTGCCAAACAGTCCCCGAAGGAGACCCAACCAGCAGCAACTATTACTGTGAGCACACTGCCCATAAAGTGTTTTCATTTGTATAACAGATCTTGCAGTTCACTAGAAAAGATATATTTACTGGACACAGTTGGGTTCAATTAGCTTCCATAAATGCCCCATTATTTTCTAATGTTGGATTTTACATACTAATTACATTTTTAATAGTTTATATTAGACGGAAACTCAATTTGCTTTGCATTTATCTTCACACATCACCTAAAACTGTGTCTGAAAATGTATTTGCTGTTGAAGGTGACTGTGTGGACAGTTTCCTATGGTTTTTCATTGTAAACTATTATTTTAACACACGCTCTCTCAAATAGGTTGCACAAGTATCTGAGCTGCCTGCAGCACCCAAAGGAATGTCTATCCCACCACCACCTCCTCCAGAACCACCAAAAATGGAAATCAAAGGAGAGCCAGCTGCCAAACCTGTAAAACCCACACCAAAAGAAGAACCAAAAGCTGCTGCAAAGGAACCCGGGCCCTCAAAAGGAACATCAGCCAAAGATACTCTGAGGAAATTCTTCCATTCAAAGGTAAATAAACAGCAAACTGTACGGACCGTAAGATGAGATCATTATTTTAAGGGATGGTAGACCTTCAGTGAGTTGATGTTCCACAGTGTGTCAGATTGTAACATAGTGTGAAACATACTGTATGTGAATTTGAGGTACTGCTAGGTGTCATGGCATCCAAAGGCAAAGGTGCTTCAGCAAGTGGAGCCAATGCACCGGCCAAGACTGCAGCAGTGGTACAGTAGATTATCATATTCTCAAACTGACCATGGCTCATCCTGTTACTAACTGAACAAGAGCTGATTTGTCTGGAGGTGGCAGAAACTGAACAATTTGCTGTTTCCAAAGTGGACCTTGCAGCAATTATGTAAAGACGTATTTGCCCGGTATTGAAGTTCATTAAGGAGAATCAGGTTTCTGTAGTTCTCTTTAAAAAATGTGACGTCTCAGTTAGAGCAATACTAGTGTGACTTTGGTTCCCTTAATGACTCATATGAGCACCACTGTTTCTACCACAGTCCATATTTCCATGATGCATTATATTCCCAACATTAAAACAGCATTAGTGATTCATTTAATCAAAAAGAAATTGCTCAACATTTTAGGAAAAACACTTTATTGCTTACTTGTCTAGAAGAGAAGAGAACAATACCACTCCTTTGTCTGTGCGCTTGTATGAAGCCAGAGCCAGGAGACACTCAGCTTAGCTTAGCATAAAGACTAGAAACTAGGTCAAACAGCAAGCCTGGCTCTGGCCAAAATACATAAATATGCATGCAGTACCAGCACCCCTACAGCTCACTGCAGGTTTAATCTGTTCAGTTAATGCTAGCTGTTTCCCCCTGCTTCAAGTCTTTATGCTAAGCTAAGCTAATCACCTCTTGGCTTGAGCTTTACACTACACACTCACAGACATAAGAGTGGTATTGATCTTTTCATCTAACTCTTGACAAGAAATTGCATAAATGTTTCCCAAAATGTGAAACTATTAATTTTAACCTGTTCACATTAGTCCGCATTCATTGCCATACTAACATATTAAGCATTTTATCATTAAAGCCTTCCCTCTCTTTATAAGGACATTTCCTTTCTGTCTTGCTGGCTTAAACTAACAATAATAATTCCTTCACTGTCCTGCAGACAATCAAGGAGGCACCTCAGCCAGCGGTAGAAGTACAACCAGTTGTACAAGTGCAGGTAAACAAGAGAGTAATGCTCAATCTTCTCAGTTGCATTCAGGGAATGTTATATTAATGTATTCTACTCTGAGCTCTCAGGACTTCAGCAAATCTCTCACTAGCACAGTGGATCATACTTTGAATCATCTTTTAAGAATATTCATAACAGATACAGTGCTATACACAGCAAATTACAGCAATTTCATGCGCACATCTTCATTTGCATCTCTTCAGAATAAAAAAGTAGTTTTTCTCTGCAGGAGACACCAGTGCCCGTAGAAGTCCAGGTAAATCAAAGGAGAGCTTTCAGTCTTGGGGTCTTTCTTAGGGAGTGGAATAATCTTCTGTTTCTCTGATTATATCACATCTCCATGTTCTAAATTGCATAGGTTAATTTATTTATTTTACATTCTGATTCATTTGCATCCACTCAGAGTGAAAATAATGTTGAACCTCATGAGACGCCAGAGGAGGTGGCACAGGCAGTTGTAGAAGAGCAGGTAAATCCGCAGGAAGTGCTCAGGAATATTAATTCTTAATTCTCTTCACTCTACAGGTGCCTCTGACATGATGTTATACCAGATGTACCAATTACCATGTTGAACCAAATATAATCTTTCATTCATTTCAGTTAACACACATGAAATTTGGCATTTGCTGTTTAAAAAAAAAAAACTGCTGTTTTTTTCATGTTTTCATTGATTAATTCACATTGTGACACAGATGAGTCAGCCCGTGATTGAATGCATTTCATACAGCATTTGAACTGATTGGAAAACAAATAATTGTTCCTTCCCCGCAGATGGTGGAAGAGGTACCACAGCCAGTGGTAGAAGCTGAGGTAAATTAAAGGAGTTCGACATGTTGAGAAATACTCTTTATTGCAGAGAGTCATGTAGATCAGATCAATACCACTCTAATATCTGTCCGTTAAGTATGAAGTAAGCTTAGTTCAGCTTAGCATAAAGACTATACTATATACGTCTTTAAGAATCAGGGGGAAACAGCTATAGCAGAAATAGCTTGGCTGTGTCCAAGGGTAACAAAATCCACCTACTAGCACCTCTAAAGCTCACTAATTAACATGTTAATTAAAATAAAACAAGGTACATCCCATAAAACCACTACTTTTTGTTTTTGCTTTCCACTTTATATAGGTATGGATTAAACAAACATGATATAAAATGTTGAACACAAAGGTTACATGACTTTCAGACGGAGCCACGGTAGCTGTTTCCCTCTGTTTCCATTCTTTCTGCTAAGCTAAGCTAACCATTTCACCATATTTCATGGGTATGAAATTGGTATCAGTTGTTTCATCTCTTGGCAAGAAAAAAAATATTTCATTATTTTAGATTTAATATTTAGCATATTTCTCAAAGTGCTGAACTATTCCTCTATAGGAGGACACTCTTCACTGGAGAAACATTCCCTGTCTCACTCTCTTTTAGAGACAAGAACATTCTTTACTTTTGTGCATGACGGTGTGGGCTTCTTTATTCTTACAGGGACAGGTTCTTATTAGATTCCTCTGCCTCTTTTTCTGCTCTGATCCTGGATTGTTCTTCCCCCTTTGACCTCTTTCACTTCACAGGTGGCAGTTCCTCCCTTCACTCTGTCAGCTTCAATGATGGTCAGGCTTTTAATTCTTAAATAGCTCATGTGATGTATTTTCTTCTTTTTTGATAAAAGAAGGTGGATCCCTCAAAAACCAGCACCTTGGAGGCTGCTCCAAAGCCAGAACCACCACCGCCTGTTCAGGAAGAGAA